GCCATACTTTATAATAACTTTAGGCTTGGTTTTCTCTTCATGAAGACTAAAACTTTATTTTAAATTAGCCCAAAAACTGTTTTTTTCTAAGAACCATGAAAATGTTTCAAATCCTACACCTAAAAATGGTATGATTTTTACCCTCCATTTGTAAAGGCTTCAGTCATTTTAGGTTCAAAAAGAATCAAAAAATTCAATTCCTTAAACAAATTTCTGGTTTTCTCATTTCTATTGAAAGAGATATTCTATTAAAAATAGTATCTGCCACTGTATGCTATTGATGTGTTGAGAATGCACAGGTCAATAAATGTAACTACAACCTCTTTAAAATGCTTAAATTATAGAATTATACTTAAATAAATTATACAAAAACTTTAGGCCAAAATGTAAAAACATCACTATAAATATAGACATATTATTTTAATAAATGGTTGCATTTCTGTCACTCAGAAATACCAGCACCTATTTTTAGATTTTTAAATGATCACTCTGATGTATTATTGCCAAAACCACATGCACACTACTTCTGTTGTTAGATGTTTTACACACACACACACAGTTGACTTTCTGTTATGCTGCCCCCATATGAAAGAAACCAGTGATGGACACAGGCAATCCAGGACAGGCGTGGGACTGCCAGTCTGTGTCATGAACATGAGTCACTCCCACTCAGCTTGCTGACCTAGATAATACTTCTCATTCCTAGCAAATGGTCATCTGTCAACATTGTGCACGTGTTTATTTGCAATTTTGCCAGTTTATTTTCATTTGCATAAAAAAAAGAAAAAAAGTCATGGTCAGCTTTCCTCAGAGGCACGGGGCCGCCGGTGTCCAAGCTACCATCACCGGGTCAGGTTCGGTCGCTCTGTCCCCCGTCCAGGAGCTCACGGCTCGGGTTAGGCTGCACTGTAGTCGACCAAAATCCCAGACGATTTTAAAATTACCCCCAGACATTTTTTAAGTATAAAAAGTAGGACATGTCCTTGAAAAAGAGGACGTCTGGTCACCCTTTTCCCACCTAAAGCAGCAAGAGCAGCAAAAACTTGCGTGCTGCTTCCTTTTTGATGCTTGTACAAGTTTAGTTCTGATGCGCAGCTGAAGCATCTTTGCTGCTCTGGCTGCGCGGTGGAAAAAGTGGGTCTGATGTGCGTTGAGCGGACCTACCGTAGCCTTTCTTTGCCTGTAACTGTTAGTAATCCAGTGTGTGTGGGCTGTGTTTGTTTTTTGTGT